CTATTACCGTGGGACGATTAAGGAAAAGAAAGGGAATACTCGAGAATGCCATAAATTAAAACCTTCCCGCTCTCTTATGCGTATAATACATGCATTTCGTACAGGGATCATCATTTCTTATAATCGTATAATAAATTCGTACGAGCCTCTCATCCTGCGAAAGTTAATCGATCTTTATAAGACGTAAAATACGCAAGAACGTCGCATCGTTCACCCGGAGCTTCGCCGAACCTAATCGTTTAAGAAGGAACCTGAAATCGCATGAATCATTATCTGTCTTATTTAGAATCCCATAATAGACGGTCGTCAACCAACTCAGTGACAAGCGACGCGAATTTAGCATTAACCACCTTGCACTGGCCCTTGGTTAATCAGATCGATACAGTATCCGTTCTTCTTACAGCTAACGAGGACCTATTGTTCCAGGCAGCAGGCTCGATAACATGAATTCGAGCGGGGAATCAGGCGGCACGATGACGGAAGACTACGAGGTGGCTGGCTGCGGCCCACCGGAAGAGGAAACAGGCTCAAACTTACCAGTCTGGGAAGCCGCGGCCGCCTCTCTGACACTGGGCTTCCTCGTTCTGGCCACGGTGCTGGGGAACGCGTTGGTGATCCTCAGCGTGTTCACCTACAGGCCGCTGCGAATCGTGCAGAACTTCTTTATCGTCTCGCTGGCGGTGGCCGATCTCGCGGTCGCCATCTTGGTGATGCCTTTCAACGTCGCCTATCTGCTCCTCGGCAAGTGGATCTTCGGTATACACCTGTGCAAACTGTGGCTCACCTGCGACGTGCTCTGCTGCACCGCCAGTATACTGAATCTGTGCGCGATCGCGCTCGATCGTTACTGGGCGATCACCGACCCGATCAACTACGCGCAGAAACGAACCCTGAAGAGAGTTTTGGCGACGATAGCCGGCGTGTGGTTGTTGTCCGGGGCGATCAGCTCGCCGCCGTTGGCCGGCTGGAACGATTGGCCGGAGGAATTGGAGCCAGGTACGCCGTGCCAGTTGACCAGAAGGCAGGGTTACGTGATTTACTCGTCGTTAGGCTCGTTCTTTATTCCTCTGTTGTTGATGAGCCTGGTGTATCTGGAGATCTTCCTGGCGACGAGGAGAAGACTCAGGGAACGGGCCAGACAGAGTAGGATAAACGCTGTCCAGTCGACTAGACACCGCGAGGTGGACGACGCCGAGGAGTCGGTCAGTTCCGAGACGAACCATAACGAGAGATCGACGCCTCGGTCGCACGCGAAACCTTCGTTGATCGACGACGAGCCGACGGAGGTGACGATAGGAGGCGGCGGCACCGTGACTACGTCCTCCTCGAGAAGAACAACCGGCGGACGAGCACCGGCGACAACCACCACCGTGTATCAGTTCATCGAGGAACGACAGAGGATCTCGTTGTCGAAGGAGAGACGAGCCGCGAGGACGCTGGGCGTGATCATGGGCGTGTTCGTCGTCTGTTGGCTACCGTTCTTTCTCATGTACGTGATCGTGCCGTTCTGTCCGGCTTGTTGTCCATCGGATCGAATGGTCTACTTCATCACGTGGCTCGGTTACGTGAACAGCGCCCTGAACCCGCTCATTTACACCATCTTCAATCTCGACTATCGGCGAGCATTCAGGAAGTTGCTGCGTATTCGTTGAAACACCAGCTGAAGATCGGTGGTTAGTTGTACCTCGAAACTGTGGGAAACACTGCTGTTCGTTACTGTGCCTGCCGTCTCGCCCGGTCAGGCACCGGAAACGACGGTGAAACTTGAGTGAAACTTGGGACTGGTTGTCTCGAAGAAGACGGCGACGACGATACGATGATGAGAGTTCGGTTGGTTTTTCCCGAGACATGTTCGAGGAGGCAGACGCGCTGTTTCGCGCCTTAAGAACAGGATATCCGTCGATGGTCCTGCGGGTCTTACGAATTCCACGACGAAGCGACAAAAAGAGGACGGAACGAGATCATCGAAAGAATTTGTCTCGCTGACTAGAAGTACATGCGTGGATGCGTGGAACGTCATAGTGTAAACTCGTTACGATGGTTCATAGTTTAACGGACTGAAGATTAGATGAACTTTCAGTGACGCGAACGATTTCACCTTTCGGGACGAAACAAACCTTCGAGAGAGGCGAGCTGCGAGTTCGAGCCGCGACGGCACGGATTAAACGGCCAAACGGCGAGTGCGATAGTCTAATTTACCGGCGATATTCTCGCAAGACGATATTCTCGTCGTTCCATTAAAGTTGTTCCATTAATCCTGCTAAGTGAGCGAGGAAACAAGGCGCGCGATAAGGAATCTTAAGGAAATGAAGCTCGCCGAGCTGGATTGTTCCGCTGAATCGTTCGTTCCTTTCGTTGCTCGTTGGTAGGGGAGGAGAGGTATCGCGTTGCGGAGCGAACTCGCGGCAGAAAGCTCTACGATGGATCGATGAATTTGATCGGATTGGACGCTCGTTGGTCGATCGCCAGTTCGTCTGCACCTACGAACTTCGATCCGGCGAATTGAATAAGAAACGTTTCCAAGTAGCGCGGCCCGCGTCGCGTCCTGGAGATTCGACTCTGGCGTCTCGAGTCGACCGTTCCATTTTCGAAGAGAAAATATCGGTGAAATATCGCTCCCTCGAGAACTGGGGAGAAATATCCAAGATCACTGATGAATCGACGGTGAAAAGCGAGTCTTTCGAGTTTTCTTCTTTCGCGCAGCTTTTCAGCTTTCTTTGTTTCCGCGTTACCCCCTCCCTACGTGAACGAGGTTTGAGAATCGTGTGATTCGCAACGCTCGAATCCGAGCTCGATTCGCACGTAGAGGAACGAGGATGCGGGGAACGAGGGATCATAAAACCCGAGCAGAGATATGAAACAAAAATTCACCGTGTTTGCGAATAGGAATTTTCTACGAAATCGACCAAGACTCCAGTTAAGATGTTTAGAAGATAGAGTATAGGTATATCCTAGGGTGGTATTACGCGCACAAACGTAACGTAACGTCACCTACCGAGAGAGAGAGAGAGATCATGCACAAGGTGGATGCACAAGATTCATCCCCACCCGAGGATTCTCCGCGCGGTCTTTTAATAGCGAGGATTTACTCGTGAAACAATGGAGTCGGTTACCCTCCTCCTGATAACCGATGATCGTTCTCTCAAGTAGCCCTCGTGAAAAAGAACGTTTTGTTTGAACTCCGGCTGGCTTCCCTTCCCCGACGATATTCAATCTTTCGTTCTTCAAAGAATCGTCCGGGCGGAGTGTCGCCAGAGATGTCGTGGATTCATGGCCAAAGACAGTCAATCGGAGATATCTCTCGAAATTCGATAGTCGATAGCCGAGTCAAGGTTGATCCTTCTGAGAAATTCTTTGAGAGAAACGGCTCTCGAGCTGTTAATTTAGATATTTTTTTTTTTTACCGGTGATTGTTACGAAGTCGATTTTCGCAAAATCAGGAGAGAGAGTTTCGCGAAACGAAAGTTACGTGATCGTGATTCAGGACGGTATTATAATAATGGACGAGCAGAACGGTTTTGCCTTGTTCGTTGTAACGAGATCAACGTGGTTGATCGTCGTCGATTTTTCTTGGGGAAAGGCGCGCCGCGGCCGAGGGAAGAACTTTCACGGGGGAAAAAATCGATGCAGGAGGAGGGCAAACGAAGAGTAAAGAGTTCGGCTTTTTTCTTAGCAACGATAACACAAGCGAGAGACATCGCGTATCCTTAAATGTGCGGTTAGACGTTACTCACTCTGTTCATTACCAATCGCAAGTAACACGGTTGTGAATATCGATGACAAACGTGATCCAAGTGCGAGGAGAGAAAGACAGACTGTTGACAAAGTGAATAGTCGGGAAAGAAGAGGAAAAATGTTCAGAGAAGAGGAAGAAGCGTTGTCGCCATTGACAAGCGACGTCGCGAGTGTTGCGTGCGCTGAAGCGAAGTTACGTGCACGTAGAAAAGTGAGGAAACGCGTGACGCGAATAGAAAAGAATGTTGTGGCGGTTTTGCATGTGTATGTGTGTGTAAAAAATTGATATTTAAGTCGCCTCCATTGGCAGTTTCAGCAAGCGCGCAAATCGCTCAGCGAGTGCAGCAAGAAAAAGAAAAGAGCGGTTGCCTCTTCGTGCGTCAACGTTCGTCGATCCTTCGACTAAATGGAAACATAGCATGCTCGTCGAGCATTAGAAAAAAGAAAACAGAAAGGAAATCCTCACGCATTCGAATATACATATCGGTGATGGTATTGGAATCGTCGAATGACGATACGTCGCGATCGTTCACTAAGCGCGACGATTCGTGCTGTAATAATATAACCGCGCCCGGGAATCAGTTTGTTAATAGGACATGGAGAACAATACGCGCCACTGACGGAACACGGCGTAACGTGTCGTCGATCATCGGGGTTCGTAACCGCGTTTGTTTCGTATCGGCGAATGATTGAGGCGCGAGGAGTTAAATTAAAACGAGTCGTTGCCGATTAACGAGGGAATAGGTGACACGTTTGCCGTCCCCTCGAGTGCCGCGCCAAATCGAATAAATGGACACGAAGGTAAAAAAAAAAAAAAGAAGAAAGAAAAACAGAATGAGAAGGAAAAAAGATAAAGAGGAAAGAAAATGTGAGAAAAAAAAATAGACAAGGAAAGCACGCGGATATTAGAGGAGGACGTATGGTAGGTAAACCCGTGTGAAAGGAGATCGCGCGAAAGTCTGGTTAATTCGAAAAAGAAACTCGACCTCGTCACCAGGGCGCTCTATAATAAGGTTGTGATAAGGTTGTGAGAACACGTTCGTAGCCGTGCTACGGACACTACAAGATTTTTAATTATTAGGATAGACAAACGAACTATTACTTTATCCGTGGCACTGTCCAAACGCGGCGCGAATTCCTATCCAAGAGTAAATTGAACACGACGTTTGAACAGTTCTGATTGGATGGTTGACGCCGATCTCAGAGCCTGCGTTTCTTTAATCCTTCTGCGTGAATTCTCCTCTTCACTATGTCTCGTCGATGTCAAAATTGTGGCCTTATTTTCATTCTTTTCCTCTCTCCCTCAAACTTTTTCTTTCATATTTTTCTCTCTCTCTCCCTCTCTCCTTTTTTTTTCTTTCGTTTTATGGACACATGTCCATCTATTTTTTACGATAGCAAATTCTGTTAACGTGACAGTGAATATTACGAGAGGCTGACTCGATATCCAGCGAAGCTGGACTTTACATTCTCCCGAAGTGCTCGTAAAATGCACGTTGTATCATCACCCCCTCCCCCCTCCTTCCATTCCCGTTAAGCTCGGAAACGACGAGTCAGACTCGGTTATCTGCAAAATTTCTCAATTACAGCTTTCACGTCGATTGCATACATCCGAATCCAGCCGAACAGCGGTTTTGCGAGCCAATGATCACCGATTAGAGCGTTGTTCCTTCGCTTTGTCTAATCAGCTGTTTCGGAGCAGTTGCTCGCTCCTCCTCCATTGTCTCGACAAGATCACGCTTACGACAGTTACGCTCGGTTACACAAACTTTTGCATTATCTTTCCGTTCACGAGGAATTTCATTTTATTTCTGATCTCTCTCGTCAGGCGCTCCCCTCTTTTTCGACGGAATATTCGACAACTCAGCAACACGTGTTTGAACACTTTTGCGTTTAAAAACGACCGGCAATCAATGCGCGATACCCGCATCGTGAAAAAAAAAAAACGGGTCGTATCGTTCGGTTTTTTCATCGAAGAAGAACGAAAGAAATATGCCAAACGAGGAATGAGGGAACAAATAATTAAAAAAAAAAAGAGAGAGAGAGGGAGAGAGAGGAGGAAGGTAAAAAATGCAATATTTTGGACAGCGTTCGTACCCGGGAAAATCGTGTTTCCCGGCTGACTGTTTCGAACGGGTTTTATTTTTTCACGGAAGGACGCCGTTTTTCACCGGTTGTTTTTTCCGCTGCCTTGAATCTCCGCGCCGTGAAATACGCGCGTGTCACGAACAAACCTCGCTGAAATTCGCGTGTAATTACGTGTCATTGACCAATTAGAAAGTTATATTTGGAAAGATACCTATACCGATCGATTTGTTTTCGTTCGTTCAGTCCGTTTTCATTCGATCGCGCACTCGTATCCCGACATTTTACGACGACCGCACGTTTTTATCTCACGCTCGTTCTACTAGATAGTCCGACAAGCCTGACCAATGATTGACTGTCTCCACTGACGTCAAACAATACAGCAGAGCGCACAGAACCGGAAATTCAAATCATTCGATTAGTACTCCATTCTGTTTGTTTTCCTTCCTCCTATTTTTCTTCGTTCCCTTCGAATTATCTCATCGCGAAACGAGCCAAACGCGAATCCAATTTGTCCCCGCTCCTCTGGCACTGTTGACTAATTCCAACTTCGTATGTTTCTTTCGAAGGAACTCAAAGTCCGTCCCCGAAATAATATCTTGGCTCGTGTACACTGTCGTTCGAAGGTTTCTCTCTTGATGAAACAGATTTCTCCCGTACGTCTCCCTGGGAAAGTAGAGATTGCTTCGGTGAATAAAATATATTCGCATCTATTTTTTATTACACGATGTAAGATGTAATTAAAACACTCGTGTTTACTTTCACATCTGCTCTTTAGAAATCTTCCCAACGTGGCTGAAACTTTTGAACGTTCTCCAATTACTTTCTCGAA